ACATTAACATGAAACTGTTGTCGAAATTCACCAGGGAAACACTCACACATATGAAGAGAGAGAGTATGCATTGTATGCAAACAGCTACCAAACAGCTATCGTAATTCGTCATACAATGAGAACAGGACAAATCAACAATTGACAATGACTAATGAATATTAAAGTCTGTAACATAATGTATTGTTTGGAGTTTAGTCTGTTACTGTTAGTATTTATACCATTTCTTCTTGGAGCAACTGTAATCCACATTATTTCCTTAGGGATTAATAAAGTATTCTGATTCTGATTTTGATTGTTTCAGGATGACCTGCCATTATCCAACGACACATCTGCTTACCTGCATCTTTTGCTCGTTTCTCTTCCTCTTATTTTCTATTTTTTCTAAACTGAGCACCTGATGGCTTTGAACTTTTTTTATTTTAATTTTTTTAAATTTTGAACTCCAGTATGAACACAAGTCCCCCAACCCAAGGATCACCACAACATAACCTAACAGACCTACACCTTAGTTCACAGATTCACTTTGTCTAAGGTGTATTTCTGGGATTTCACACAACCCAGGATTCAAATCATGAATACATGATGGGCTTGGATTTACATCATTATGGATGAAAACATCATGAATGAAATGTGCTCTATTTGGAGGCAGCAGGTCTCCCTCCACTTTCCACAGGTTGTGCGTGAGACATTAAATCATCAAAATATAAAATATAAATTTTAAATTGTTATTGATCCCTTTACCCCGAGTCCTAAAGTGTATATTTATTTACTTACTCTTCTTATATTTATTGTTTGTTTACTTGCACTGCTGAAACTGGAGCCTCGTCCTGTAGTCTCTCTCTATAGTGTACTGCATGCAGCCAAGATGACAATAAAGTTTACTTTGACTTCAGCAGCGAGCAGGCGCACCGAGGGCTCTCGCGCTCACTTTTCGCGTATAGAATTTCAGAAAAACATCAGTGCAAATTATAAGTCCCCCGCCACCCCGCCCTCTCCTCCCTGTGCCGCAAGCAGCAGGCGCACCTCGCCCTTACTCCCAGCAAATGGGCGATAGAAAACCTACCGCTGCCTATGACATTCCCAATATGTGCTGGCTGATGTCGGGGCAGCATGAGTACGAGCATTTTTTTGTTTTTTGTTTTTGCCGATGCCTTTGATGCCGCCCCCCACCACGATGCTTGCCCGGGCAACCGCCCGTGTCGCCCGTATCAAAAACCGCTACTGATTGTTGGACTTGGATACGTATAATATGTGAATGTAACCAAATTATTTATCAGTGATTTCAAACTGTAAAAACAAAAACAAATGATGTTATGCAACATGAGAAAGCTGCTACGCTCAAATTCAAATATTCCTCATCCATGCTGGACTGATCCTCCCACCCCAGCACTACTGTATTAACAATGCCTTCAAGGCTTGTTTTATTTTTACTATTCTTTTTTGTTAATTTTATTTGATTCAATTAAGTATCTTTTTTTCATGTATGTAACTTATCTGTTTATTGAATTATCCATGTCTGTGGTTTTATTTGATGTCTGTTCCCTTTAAGTTTTTATTTCTTTGCTGAACGGTCCAAGAGACTGAAGACGTCACTTGGATGAGTGTCGACATGTTTCTCCCACTGAAAACGTTATGTGGTGATGAACAAAATCAGCTTTCTTGGTTTTCCTTACCTGGATGATTGTGCATGCATCAAGACACTTTGTTGCAGGGTGCTGAATTAAAATTTGCCCCGATAGCACTTGAACACCTACAAGTTCTCTTCTGCTCCACGTTTGACATAGTACATATGTGCTCTATAGCACCATACATAAAACACAGTTAACAGCAACATTCGCCCTCAAGATGGCAGGGCAACAAGGCAGCCTCCAGAAACAAGCACACATTCCTATGTTTGTTATTAATTAAGGATTAATTCAAAGACATATTTGTTAGATTCTATAATTACATAAAATTATGTATATTTATGAGTGCAAAATCCATATTTCTATTAAATAACCTAAAAAATGGCCAACCTTTAATTTCAGTTTATCCCACTGACCACCAGCAGCATCATTGTGCTTTTAAGCTTTACCTGTGGTTGTGATCCTGATCCAGCACCCATCCAACAGGCAAATCTAACTGAGGACAGGTTAATGATCTTGTTTTCACCTGCCTACACTGGCTGCTTCCTCTGCTAGCCATGGCATGTCATGCTTGTGATCTATGCGTGATCTGTCCCGTACCCTGCGATTGTCTTTGATGTTGCTCACCCATCTGTGGAAAGGCCAGGAGGTACCAGACGAGAGCCATACTGTCAAATTACTGCAGATTAAACAGCAGTTTTCTCTGACTTCAGTAGTCATGATGAAATTAATGAAAAATACAAATGTTTTTTGTAACTTTCTAACAAAGGTATAGTGTGGCTGGCACATTAATACCTGTTCATAAATGAAGTAAAAGTCAAGTTTACACTCACCATGTTCCACTTTGGGAAGAGAAAGTCAGTGCCGACGTACTCGAAGAAATGAGCAAAACCTTCTTTTAGCCAAACATCCTCCCACCACACTGGAGTCACCAGATCACCGAACCACTGAAAGACAGAGACAAAATCATTTCATATGCTTTCATGTCTTAAAGAGTTATTTCTTATGAAACTGTTTTATGAAACCCATTCTTATATTCAAACCATAAACTGTGTACAACTAATGGATGAAGCATCACTCGTTAGCTTTCAGAGCACTGTGTTTAAAGCTTAAGCTTAGCAATGTGAGAGTTACCCTCTAGGTTTATTAGAGCCTCCCTCACTTCGCTACTTTGAAACAGAAACAGATCTTCTTTGCTTAATTTGTCACAATCTATGGAGAGAATAGGCCTCGCCTGGCCATGAAACGGCTTTCAATCAACTGTCCAGTGGCATTTGAGCCTCTAAAAATAAAGAGCCACGTATTAAAATAGATGTAGTTAATGCCATACCTATGTCAATATCATTTAAAAGGGTGAGTTAAATAAAAATTCACCCTCTGTAAAATTCACCCCCTTTTGATTAAGGGATAAAGCAGTTAAATAGACCAATGCTGTTTTTTGTACCTGGATGTAAACATGTTTATTTTCGGAGCCAGCCTCGACTGACCAATTGAGAATTACAATTTTTGGCATTTGCATGAGCTTCATTTTTCAGTTCCAGATGCTGCAGCTTGATGTACACATGTCCTCTACTCGAACATGGAAGTTTAGTCATGTTTGCATGAAATTGCTGCTTATGTGGTATGAAGCAATTTATTACTAATGTCCATCATTTTATCTCTTAAAGCTGGTCGTTTTACTTTTAGAGTGAAGTTCAAAATTGCTGAAATTATGCAAAAACAGATTGTGTTTCATTGAGTTGTGTGCATGAAAATTGCCACAAATAATCCACTCTGAGTTCCACAGTCACACCGTGAAGTGGGTGTGAATTTGTGTGTTTCAGAAAGTTACTAAGAGATATGTATCATACATTTAGATACAGACAATTAATCTTCAATTTATCCAATATTTGTTAAGATATTTATGTAAAAATCAAAAACCTAATGCTGATGCCACAGTCACAGAATTTTCATAGTGGTTTTAGTCCAATATGTCCAAGATTAGTTTATTACCAGCTCTTCAACCACTTCTGGAGAATGAATAACATTTCATATTCCATCTTTAGAACATACAAAACTGTTTTTGTTGTGCATAGGAAAGAAAATCCAATTAAATCCAGACAAATTCTGAGCAGGGAGAGTACGGCCTTCCAAGTCCTGCCCCTCCTGAAGGACTGACTTGGCTTCCTCACCTGCTCTGAGCTGATGTGATGAGGCAGGTTCACTCATCAACAACACCATAGGGCAACCAACAACGTTGCTCCAAAGTGTGACAAAGGAAGGGGAGGCTTTGGCTCTCATTCAGCTGGCATGCTACCACCTGATTGGACTGTTAGCCTTTTCTCAAGCTGCCTCGGAGCCTCGTCAGAGTAAACCAGCAGTGAAGTCTAATAAAGGCAGAGCACGTAAGAAAATAGAGTGAACTTTGCTGATAGCGAAACGCGCAGCCACAGGAGTAATTTATTGGATCCAAGCTGTTTCCTGGCGACACAGTTTGAATGAAAACGGTGGGGAACAAACAGGCGTCTCTACCAGCTTTGTTTCTGAGTCTGAGCGTTCCCTTTAAATCTTCAGACGCACAAAGAAAAAAAGTTTACCTCAAATTTCCTTTAAACCCTGATTAAAGTTCCATCTGTAGAAACAGCACACACTGCAGTTTTGATACATCAGCACAGTGAGTGTGAGACTGTACGTTTGGCAGCATGTCTGCAGTAAATTGTCCTTCAACTGATCAAAGTTTGTGTGGTCAAGCAGAGAAGTACCTAGACTGTGCATATGTGTGTGTGTGTGTGTGTGTGTGTGTGTGTGTGTTCAGTGTTTTTGGGTAAATCTGCAAGCAGCTGAAAAAAGTCAGACTTAATTATGCAGTGTGGTGTTATAAGTCTTTCCATATAAATCAAAAAGGGCACAAAAGCTAATCCCCCGACCAACAACAACAGAACTGCCTTTCATGCAATTAGTTACTGGAGCTTTCAACAGATGCTGTCACCCTGCAGCGCGAGAGCTCAGTGCATCAGAAATTAATGACCAGGGTTTTTTATTTGTTTCAGAAGTGAAGGAGGAACATTGAGCATCCGCCTTCACCAAAAAACAGAGGCTGGCCCTCTTTATGTGGCAGCGGGGGCGAGGAAACCTACTTCAGTCGAGTGCGGCATATGAGGCAGATAATCAAACGCTCCCAGGTGGTGGAGATGCTGCAGCTCTTTTTGAAGACATCTTGTAAAACTGTCAAAGCAGAAATTACTAAATATAATGAAGGGCAGGATTGGAACCAAGTTAATCATTGGGGCTGAAAGGACAAAAACATCTGCACACTGCAATGCTGACTCAGGCGTTTTGTGACTCTTGCTGGTCGATGATTTACATCTGTGTTCTTTTCTTGCCTTTACTGTTAATCATGAGTCTTTGCTGCTTTCTATCTCATTTAGTATTGTCTACTAGTGCGTAGAGCAGGTAAAATGCCATTTTATGGCTTCTTTCCATAGATTCTAACAACAGAACAGATGCAGCTTCTGGGTCTGAAAAGCAAACATGCTCAGAAATGGCTTAAACCTGCGTTCTTTCTAATGGCCTGCAGAGGGCGAATCCTGCAGCTGCGTAAAGACTTTCAGTTGAAGAAGTCGATGGGCACACAGGTCTAGCCTCCCATACTCTCTGATCTCAGAGAATAATTTCCTTATGAGATCATGGGCTCAAGTTTCAAAGTGTACTAAAAACATGTCAAAGTTTCAAATGATGTAAAACAACACTAATGTTAGTGACAGTTCAGTAATTAGAATCAAATGAGGTTCTATATGTGTCGACTGTGCTCCCAGTACAATGTCCTAAACGTCTATAAATATATACAGATTTATAGGAATTGATATTTCCTCCTTAACTTCACTAGACTAGTAGCCTGGTCAGTAGTGATGGGGGCTGTTATTGGTCGGGTTTGATTAGCAATTAGCCCCTTCTTATAGATTTCTTGTTTGTTTGGCATACCGGAATTGAAAACTTGTGACAGAAGATCAGCAAGACCAAAATGCATGTTTTAGACTAAATTGGAAAGGCTTTTCTAGTTGTTATTTTAATGTGCTTGTTGAGGATGTGGGTGTAACACAGCCAAACCTTACTCCTATATCATATTAAACGGAGCAGGGTAGACTCAGGAAAGGCTGAATTAACTGATCCAATTAGCCTAATCTTGCTGGGGGAGATAACAGGAACACCTGGAGCAAACCCACACAAGGATGGGGAGAACAGGCCACAAGTCCACAAATAAAGGCTGAAGCCAACCAGGAACCCCCCTGTAATATTGTTAACCACAGCAACCTCATCTTAGCTGGTTTAAAATACAGCTGCTTTACTTTGAGTGGTTACTACTGAAAAATAGAATTAATTTTGAAAGTGTTGTTGACATTTGTAGATATTTATATTTAGCAGTATGTCCCACATGGCAGGGAAAGCACATGATGTATAAAAACGGTGGGGACAGGGTGCACGTGGGTTGTGCAGTTGTAAAACTACCCACCTGCAGGGTGGTGAGCGGTGGTTAATCAGACGAGATTTAAAATCCCGTCTGATTAACCACATTCAGGATCTAGTAAAACATACAAGCTAAGTTTAACTGTAGCAGAACTAATTTCAGATATGAATTTAGTTATTTTTATATACATTTTTACTCTATTTTTTTGATCTGGCTTCATTTTATATTCATGTGGTTAGGTTTTGTAATGCCCTTGAGTCTTTTTTTACCGTGTTACTTAGTCTAAGAATTCTTGTCAGTACATCTGCTGTGAGTAAAAAGTAATTTGGTCAGCGCCTGCTTTTTTTTTTTTTAACAAATATTTTACTTGGTTTTGGTCTTTTTTCTTCCCCGTCATGCTTCTAAATATATTGCACAGCATGTCTGAAATCTTAATGAGCTGCGGGTGCGCTTCAGGAAAACAATTTTTAAGAGTAACCGATTGGAATTCCTGCATATTGTATTTATTAAATCATATTTCACTCTAGTTGCTGTGTCTTGTTCTGAGATCATTTTGCAGAGAACGCGGCTCACTGATACTTTCAGTCCCTTTGTGTAAACATGTGAAAGTGTCCTTAGAAGCACTGCTGCCATTAAAGCCAGAGGTTGGATAGACCAAATACGCATTTGACTGATTTTCCCTTTTTACTGCATTTTTTATGAGGATAAAATAGAAACTCTTTGTGACATTATATTTTTGAAACACACTTCTTCTCAGCTCTGTAAGCCTGCACAGTTTGGAGGGAATTCACCTCTTCACCTGCATGGACACACACACACACACACACACACACACACACACACACACACACACACACACACACACACACACACACACCCTGTAGATATGGTGAAGCTGAAGAATGTGTCCAGACATGCATACTAACTCCTTTCTCTCACTCTCTGGCAGGTTGTGTCTGTGTCTGGGCAGGGATTCAAACCGACCACCCTGTGGGGAGCTGGCAGGCTGTTCAGCTGGCTGCTTCCGATGCCTGGCTCAACAGACACTGGTTCAACTTCCTGAGGCGGAGCTAGAGTCACAGCGGGGACCGCTGCAGTTTATAGGATGGAAAACCAGTGCCAGATGAAGTTGTACTCACATCTGGAGGAGTGCGAGGCCGCTGCTTCCTTTCGATACTCACACAGATGCTGGAACGTAACCAGACTATTAGTCTGCAGGCCTTTACATTTATTAACTACTTTTAAATATTTATATATATATATATATATATAGATTAACTATTTATGTGTAGTAAATTTCCAATTTGTAATCAATTTAAATTGAAAGGAACAGTCATTTATTTATTACTATTATTGTTATTACATTTATTTTACTGGCTGCCTCTGTCACACAGGCAGAGACTAGTCAATAACCCAGGATAGTAAAGAGTACAGAGGATGCTGCACCAAAAAACTCCCTGAGATGGCTTTGATTGCTAACCGATTGCCAAGGATCATTCACGA